GCTGCTATGGCTAACCAAAAAAAAAATGTATCACCTGTCAACCAATCTTCCAGCAATGAGCCTCCCTGAATTTAGCTAAGAGGGTCCTTGGATGACTGAGCCTGTTCTCAAAGCCCTTTCAACTGCTGGAGCTTATACTCCACTGGTATGGCTGCCAAGAACCAACGGGCACCTTCAGGCCATGACACAGGATGGCATTTTAGCAGAGGAAGGTGAAACCCAATAGGGATAAATATTATGCTTATCCCTATTAAAATCTGAAGTGATAGGCATCAGAAGACCTGGGTCCAAGTGTGTCTCTGGGCAAGTTACTTAGCATCTCGACGCCCCAGACAACTCTCCAAGACAGCAAGTTGCCATGCTCACCTTTATTGGTAAAAGGAGTTTCCTGACTAGAAGTTTCTGATACAAATGAAATCATATATCCAGTCCCTGTTAAGTATTACACTTTTGTTCAGAAATCCAACTCCACAAAGACAAAATGGGGGGAAGTGTCCCCATGCGCTTCGGGGCCTGTTCCAAGGTAAGCTCTTAACAAATGCTTGCTGATTGACCCCTAAGTGTAACTGTAAGCTCACTTACCAATCACGTGGCATGGCTGTCATACAAACTGATGTGGTCTCAAGAAACATTAACAGAAGTCTCCAACACAGTGCCTTGTGGAATTAAAAGTTCACCATGAGAACACAGGCTCCTTGAAGCCAAGGACTGAATTTTTAAAGTCATATCCCCAGCACCTCGCATAACGCTTGACACATACTCAGTGCTTAAAAAATCCTAATTGACTGACTAATGGAATGAAGGCGGAAATATGTTAAGAGACAGAAGCACTGGGGCACTAGAAGAGAGAGAGGCATATGGATTCCTTTTGCAGTTCTTGTTACTGGGGAAACAGTTGAGAAACTGCATTTCTGTAGAGGTGACAGGGGTATCAGGAATTAGGAGCAGGACTTGTGTATGAATGCTGGTGGAATGCAAAGACCAACCATTATTTACTGAGCAGAGCATATGAACAAAGAGTGTTACAAACGTGATTGCTGGGGAAGAGACTGGGAATATATAAGGTACAGTCATCACCTGTAGGGTATGCTCTTAGGGATCACCATCGTCCTCTCATGATGATTAGTGATGGTGTTATCTGACATTTATGTAGCACTTTAAGGGTTGGAAAGTCTTTTAAATGCATGATCTCGTTTGAACTTGACAACAGCCCTGTGAGGGTTGGTACTAATGGGTATTAAAATGAGGAAGCTGAGACTTAGAGAGATTGTCTCTCATGGTCAGGTTATGGTCACGTGATTATTAAGAAGAAAGGGTGTGATTTGAATGTGTACTGACTCCAACTTTAGCAATTCTTTCCACTGGCTCTTCCCTTACACCTTGTATCTTCAGTGGGAACACACAAGGGATGTCCACAAGCACTGAGGTCTGGGAGGGTTCTGGGAATGAAGTGGGATGGGTGGTGGGATGTCCTTTGAATTACTATAGATCCAATACACAGAGCATGTACAAGTTCCGGTAACGAGAAGGAATAAAGAGATATTAGATCTAGCCTCGTATTGTCTATTGTATCACATTCCCAGAGCAGGGTGTTGCCTAATGCCAACACTGTGAGGCATTCATAACTCATGCTACCCAGTGTTCTCTGTCCTAACCACTGCAGTATTGTGATTGGAGTGCCACATTTTAGGAAGGCTATTGACAAATTAGAACGAATCCAAAAGAGGACAGCCAGAGTGATGTCCATTTTCAAGACCATGCTTTTAAAAAAAATAGGTAAAAAATATTGGGGATATTGGACTGTGAGCTTCTTGAGAGCAAAGACTATTTTTTTTGCCTTTCTTTGTATCTTCTATGCTTCAAATAGTGCCTAGCACACATCAGGTGCTTAATTAATGATTATTTACTGAACAACCAACATCCACTTTGGAGAAGAAAAGTCTTGTGGGCCGAAGGGTAAGAAAAGGTGGCAGTGGAATGTACTAATTGTCTTCAAGTATGTAAAGAGCTTTCATGTAAGAATAGGTAGATTTTTATTCAACATAAGGAAGAACTTAGTAATTAGAGTTGTCTAGAAATGGAATGAATTCTCTCAAGAGAGAATGACTTTGTTAGACAAGCTTTTTGAATCAGATGTTTTTCTTTGTCACAAGGGAGGATTAAACATGGGGGTGGATGGGGTGGAAATGATTTTGCTATAAAGACAGATAGAATGAATTTTTAAAAATAAAAAGATAGTGACTTCCCATCAGGGAAGAATTCTTAATCAAACAAGGGATAGGCTATAAAAGATGACAGACACTTTTGACTACATAAAATTAAAATGCTTTTGCATAAATAAAAATCGGTGAAGACACCTGAATTATTAGAGAAGTGGTGAAGTGGAAAAACATTTGCACAAAAAATAACTGATAAAACTCCAATATCCAAAATATATAAGGAATTGACACTATATAGGGGATATAACAGTAAGAGTTAAATATATAAATACATATAAATATTAAATATATAGGGAATATAGCACTAAGAGCTATTATTCAATGAATAAGTGATCAAAGGATATAAAGTTTTCAAAAGATGATTTGCTAACTACAAACGTTTGCCTAAAATCAAGTTCCAAATTATTTAAAACAACTTTGAAGTTTTACTCCTTGCATGTTGACAATGATGAAAAAAAGAATGGAGATAGTGTTGGAGGGGCTGTACAAGGACATTCATGCGTGATTAGTGAAACTACTAAGCGGTTGAATCCATTCTGAATTTCAATTTGGAATTATTCAAGAAAAGGGACAAAAAAGTACCACATCCTTTGACCCAGAAATCCCACTACCAGACATGGAAGCTAAAGACAGACATAAAGGTCCAGTACATACCAAAAACAATCCTCTTAATGGATCGTATTATAGTAAGTAGCAAAGAACCAGAAACAAAGAATACATACCCAACAATTGGGGAATGGTAGAAAAACTTATGGTGTATGAAAATTATGTATTATTACTGCACTGAAAGAAACAACAAATATGAGGAATTCAGAGAAATATGGAAAGATTTGTGTAAATTGGTGTAGAACAAATGAGTAGAAGCAAGACAGAACACTATAGATAACAACTATAATTATGCAAGTAAATAGATCACTAAAAGGAACTGAATTCTGAGGAATGGAAAAACCAATGAAGGTCCTGGAAGAGAGATAACGAAACACAGAGGTGGCTGAATTCTAGGATAGCATTTTTTCTATGCTGTCAGTATTTATATTGAACATTTGGAGGGGTGGGGGTGAGAAACAGTTGAGATAAAGCTAAAATGCATCAACAAAATATTTTTGTCTTTGTTTTGTTTCAAAGACAAAGCTAATGAGTTCTACTGGAAGTGTTTAAGGGCAGGCTAGATAGTCAATTGTCAGGGACTTTATACCAAGATTCAGGTTAGGGTTAGACCTGAGAAGCCTTTTAAATTCTCTTCCAATTCTAGGATTCGGTGAAACCTTCAATTTTGAAGACTCATGGGGAGGAGGGAGGTTAATCAACACACAAGCTCAATGAATCAAAGCCATAAATTGTCTGCTTACAATGTTTACATCAAGGAAGAACATAGTCTATTTTACTCTGCACTGGTCAACCTGCATTTGAATTATTGGTGTTCAAGTCTGTATACCACATTTTCAAAGTAACACTGACAAACAAGTGAGGGACCAGGAAGGCAAAGGGTCTGAAAATAGCACACTAATAAAGCTAAAGTAGCTAAGGATGTTTAGCTTGGATAAGGCAAAAAAGCAAACAAACAAACAAATAAATAGGGTCATTAAAGGAATCCTTAAAGATTTTAAAGTTTTAATGCAAAAGACTGAATGTTCTGTGTACCTCCAGAGAACAAAATTGGCTCAATACATGTAAGTTACACGGAAGCAAATTTCCCTTTAATTATAAGGAAAATTGTATAATGATTATAGCTAACAGTGAAATGGATTGCCTTACAAAGTAGTGAGTTTCCTGTCACTGGACAGTCTTCAAGACTAGAAGTCTTTAAGCAGAGCCTGGATGGCCATGAGTTAGGGACTCTGCTGCTATGAAGAGTCCTGTATTATGTAGGAGACTAGATTAGAAAAGACTTTAAGAAGAAATCTTCTACCTAGAAGATTTCATAATCACCTTCCCAAATTTTTCAACCTAATTTCCACAGGGAATTCAGTCTTTCCATTGATCATTTCCCTTCCTGCTGAGATCCCAGATTAGTCTAGCTCAGCACCCACCTCAATGGAGAGCTCAATGAACAAGTCACTGTGTCATGTCCTCGATGACCAAAGTGTTCTTGGAGCCTACCACCACACATACAGATCTCTTCCAGGAAGACAGACATAACTGAAATATCTCTAGCATCGGTCAGTGGCCAAGGTTTCAAATGACAGTGTATATTTTTAGTAATCACAGGAAAGATCAGTATGAAATTCTCATACGTTTCTGAAAGCCCCCTAACCTCAGACTTACTGTATGTCAGCATAAGCTCCACAAGAAGTAGGTAAAAGATACCGCTCACTCTTGCTCTGGATACTAAGTTATAACCATTAAGTAAAGCAAAAGCCTGACTGTTTTGGAAAAATTGAAATTTAGGACTGCTCTTACATTATACACTATCCCATAACATCCAAGACAGAATGTGTAACTGTTCACTTACATAGAGAGTATAACATTTCAATGTTATCCTGGCCATCGGTGAAGAAGAAAGCACATTCTTTAATAAATCGAGTTTTCTAATAGGGAATTATAGAACAATTCTTTCACACAGATATTATTTATATGCATAGACTATATACATTTTTATCTATGCAATCTTTTAAAGATCCAAGAAAAATTTAGTTCAATACATTGATCCAGAGACATTTGAGGTCAAGAGAAAAGTCAGAAATGATGCTACTAAAAGATTTTTTTGTTTGTGTGAAAAGCAGGCAGGTTAGGTGAAAGGATAAATAAAATGAAGTGTCAAGAAATTTCCTCATTACTCACCTGAAGCCCTGGCTGCTCCCAAAACAGTGGAACTGAGCCTCTGATCTGGACAAAAGACGACACACCATCATCCATGTAAATCGTCTGCAGCCACAAGAAAACAGAGAGGGAAAGATATTCTTCAATGAAACTGAACGTCCCAGGGCTCCGCAACCAGATACTTCAGCTTGGGACGTGAAACCTGAGAGATGAACAGGCAGCTGATTTCAACCCGGTCTAGTCTGATGGAGTTCGGCCGGTTCCTCACCCTGATGCCCTGCGCAGACAGGGGCAAAAGGGAGCATGCTTGCTTTCAATTTGCCTCCTAGCGGAACCTCTCTCAAGAGCAGGACTCCTAACTCTAACAAACAGCCTCCCTTAGGTTATGACTTCAGAGGAAGGCTCTTGTTTGTGTCTGGGGTCTGAACACCATCGTTCCCCACTTCTCAGTTCCACTGGCTCCATTGATTATATATCCCGAATACTCTTCATGAAATTCCAGTAATATCCCTCGTTGTTTTAGAAATGGAAGCAATATTTGTTCATTTTACATTCAAATAAATTCCTTTTCAAGACTTTATTTTTACCTTGGCAAGATCTTCATGATACTATGGGCAAACAGCTATTTCCTCATCTGTAAAAAAGGGGATTAACTTAGATGTCTTTTCAAAAAAATTTTTCAATTTTTAATTTATGGAATGAAACAAGCATTTCCATACATAGTATAATAAAAAAAGATAATTGCATATGAAACTGCAAATCTATGGACAACTTGTTTTTCCTTTCAAATATACAACAAAATTATCGTGTAAATTTCTTTTTTTTCCTCCCTCCCTCCCCATGGCTACCATTAGGCACAAATAGGTGCGTGTGTGTGTGTGTGTGTGTGCGTGTGTGTAAAATTAAGATGTCTTTTGAGAACCTTTCCAGCTCTTAGAGCCTTTATCCCCTCTGCCCTTAACAAAGGGATATTTTAAAAAGGGAAAAAATAAGATATTTTTAAAACAAGCCATATCCAAAGAGCAGAGGTCTAGATCAGGGGTTTTTAACCTAGTTTCTGTGAACTTGTTTTTAAAAAATATTTTGGTAACTCTATTTCAAATATTCGTTTCCTTTATAATTCTAGTATTTTATTTGATCCATTTAAAAACATTACTCTGAGAAGGGATCCATAGGTTTCATCACACTGCCAATAAGGGTCCACAACACAGAGGGCTAAGAAAGCCCTAGATGACTACAGGAAAGCTATGGTATGTGGCCTTTTTCCGTCTATAATATTACATACAATATGCATTTCAGATGTGTACATATATTTATTATATTTATTTACAATTTTTAGAAATATATTACTTATCTAAATATGTTGTTTATATTCTGTCTTTATATATTACAATATAGACATATTTATATATTTACAATATACATATATAATATGTATTTTATATGCACATATCATATATAATATTACAGATGGAAAAGGGCCATCACAAACAGCCCCACATACTTACTGTAGCCTTATTCCCACCACCTTATATAGCCCTATCCTTAAATATATATCATAGATATCACATATATAATGTATATCACACGTAATACATGATGTATATATTGTAGGTATGTTATACATAGTGTTATCTACATTTTACATATATATACGCACATCATATGTATATAAATATACATGTGTATATTAAAATATAATTATAGATGAAAAAGGGCCATACAAATATGGGAAATATATATGTATTATACGTATCCCTCTGTGTGTGTGTGTGTGTATATGTATGGAAAAGGGCCATGACAAGTAGTCCCATACTATACACTATATATGTATATATGTATGTATATGATATATGCGTGTATATGGATATATATGTATGTGTGTATATGTATATGATGGAAGAGTGTGTATGTGTGTGTGTGTGCGCACGCGCGCGTATCGGCATCTAGGTGGGACAGTGGATAGAGTGCCAGGCCTAGAGTCAGGAAGACCTGAGTTCAAATCTGGCCCCAAGCACTAACTACTATGTGACCCTGGGCAAGTCACTTGACCCTGTTTGCCTCAGTTTCCTCAATCTATCAAATGAGCCGGAGAAGGAAATGGCAAACCACTCCATTTTCTTTGCCAAGAAAACTCCAAGTGGGATCATGAAGTGTTGGTTGCATCTGAACAACAACAAATGTGTGTGTTTACACACACAAAAAATGTATATATATATATATGTGTGTATATGCATACACACATACATGTATGTGTATAGGTATATAAGTGTGTATGTATGTGTATACGTGTGTGTGTACACACACATATCTGCAGCTAGATCTATACTTATCTAGACATATCAGTTAATGTGCCCGTCACAGTGAGATTCCCAGAGGTACTACCAGGCTAATAGCTGGAAATGAAATACTTTTCCCCCACATGACCATTGCACGGCACATCAACTCCCAGTTTATGTGGAGTAGAGCAAGAAGATCAAGAACAGAAAGTACAACTCTGAAAAGCACAAGGGGAAAGGTTGCAGAGCCCCATCGGATGCTCTGCCTTTTATCTAGGTAACCAGAGCCTGCCTTGGCAGGGCACTGGTCCCACTAACGCCACGAGTCTTTCCATTTCTTACCCCCCAGGCTACCTTACACTGTAGCTTTCCATGGAGAGCTAGGCTATACTCAGATCACCCATGCATTAGTAATTGTTTTCAGTGGAAGACTTGAAAATTAGATGGTAGAGTTTCCCTGGACTATGGGAATTATATGCACCTGGTACCTGGGCCCTCCTACTGACACTCTTAGCTTTTTACCTCAGGGAGGAAGCACTTTGGTTAAAGCAAATTTGCTAGTATTTGGAACTGGAAGAACTCTCAGCAACTTTATTAGTTAGCATCCTCTAAGGTCTCTTCCACTTCTAGATTTATGAGTACATCACATATATTTTGAAGCAGAGAACTCTCAGACAGCTAAGTGGTGCACTGAATACAGTGCCGGGCCTGGAGTCAAAAAGAGTTCAAAACTGGCCTAAGACACTTACTAGCTATGTGACCCTGGGCAAGTCACTTCCCTATTTGCCCCAGTTTATTCATCTGTTAAATGAGCTGGAGAAGGAAATAGTAAGCCACTCGAGTGTCCTTTACCAAGAAAACCTCAGATGAGGTTGTGAAGAGTCAGGCCCAGATGAAATAACTTCTCAGTAAGGAAATTCCTACCAATGCAGATCTGAGTCACACATTCATTTGGCATCTGAAGTTGAACTTGAATCCAAGACTTCTTACTCTGAGGCCACCGCTGCCTCTCCTTATTTATGTCATTAGTCATTAACTGCTTAACCTTCTCAAGAGTGTATGAATTATAGGCCCTGTATTTCTTGGGAAAGCCTCTTCTGGGCAACATTTTTACACACGGACAGGCCTCACTGCAGCACAGGATCTTGTGCTAATCAACTATCACCCTTCAAGGGGAAAACAATCCAGGCTGTAATAAAATTTGCAAACAGTCACTCTCTGCCTCCAACATCCATAGGGCCCACCCAGAATAAGGTGGGTTCATTTTCATAGCATGTCCCATACCAGCAAAATCTTCCACATTAACTTCCAAGAGGACTATCGTGACCTAATCAACTGATAGTCACTGCTTACTGGGAGACTTTTAATTTCTAATTCATTTGTAATTTAATAGGGTGCTCCAGGGGGAGACAATGTCATAAGTGAGTACTAAAGGGAAAAAGAGAATTATAGGTACATGGACCTTCCAAAAGCCTTCAATTCATACCATAGTGTTGGTGGATTTGTGGGAGTGACTTCTATCATATATGTGTATGCAAACTTTGAGCTATTTTAGGGTGATATCGACTGATGAACACTAAACAAAAAGCAAGCAGTACAGATTAAAAAAAAAAATCAGTCTTCCCCAAGTAGATCCTTGGGAAAGCCTCTTCTGGGCAACGCGCACAAAAACATTCCCTTAAATTCTATATAAGAACAAAAAGATTTTTACTTAGATGAAAATTTGACAGAGTTTCAAAATGCTCTCATAGCTTTTATAATTGATCTGCAATTACTTTTAATTTATATTTATTGTTGCAGACATGAATATCTGGACACAAGGTTTTTAAAAAAACATATCCATAAAAGTTTCAGAAGCCAAAAGAAAGGAATAAATTGAAGGCCAAATATTATAGCTCAAAAAAGAATCACATTTTTACTGTTATTTTAAAAGCTTTTTACTCTACTAGGGGGTGGTAGTAGGGTGGGGTGGGGTGGAGGAGTAAAGGGAACAAAAATAAATTAATTGAATGTCAGTTAACTCCCTTACAGGTGGCATGGTCTATGGAAATGCCACTTGCTAAAAAAGTAGAATCAGGAGAGTTTGACTTCCTCCAAGAAAAAAAATGCTTTTTTTTCCTCCATTAGTTTCATGCCCAGAATTATAGAAAACAGAACAGAACAACAGGAATAAAAGGAGTTGGCTCACAAATTAAGGTGCATTTTAAAGAACGATTTTTACATGATTTTGACATCCCAGTGAGTGAGGTCTTTGAAATCTTTCTTTCCTGGTTGGCAATTCTTAAGATATCACAATGACCCTTGAGCACCTAAGATTAATCAAGAGCTTTATCTTAAAAACCCAAACAAGCCTAAATGTTTAGCTCTGGTCTTTTTTTTTTGTAGGCTGTTTTTTTTTTCCATTTTGTGTCTACAGGGTGAGTCATAGCTGCAAACCAGCCTACCAGATATGATTCACTTCAGAGCTGAAAAGGTACAAGTCTGAAGGAAGCGAAGGAAGGCCATATTCGCGCGCGCGCGCACACACACACACACACACACACACACACACACACACACACACACACACACAAAGGCGCACGCAAGCTGTCAGCCTGGGACTGTTTATTTCTCTTAAGAAAAATGAACAGGGGAAAGATTCCTCCCTTTTTCTGGAAAGTCTCGGCATTTAATTCAGGAAAACAGTCAAGTGAACATATTCACTTATTAAATGTCCCATCCTCCTTTAAAAAAACAAACAAAAAAAGCAAATATATCCCCCTTTATTCAGTCACTGGGTCCAAACATTACCTCACAGGCAATTAGTCAGCCATCTACTATGAGTTT